TCCGCTGATGCCGAGCTGAGACTCTAAGTCTGTGTCAAGTTGGACCCTGCGGTCTGTGACTGTGTTAGGCACTGGTCTGTGTTACTGTTGAGCTAGGGTCCGCTTGGTGTAGAATTAAAATTCTGAACTGTGGCGCTTTATCTCTCTATTTTTTTTAGCGCTCGTCTAAAGGACCACCGTCCTCAATCCGAGCCACCGGCCACCTAAGTAATTAACTTGCCTCCTCGGGCCACCACTAAAACTGCACGACAAAGCCAGCGAAACGTCTCCAAGCATTACGACCGACGCCCCGACCATACCACCACAATGCTATTTTGGTCCTGTCCCGACGTCCAGTGTCGCTGGATGACCTCCGCTCGCCAATAACACGGCACCCCGGCCGCTCCAAGCGGTGACAGGTCGCGTCAGGCCGCAGCAAACCATCGACCCGAGCCTTGTGGCGGTGGTTTTGTGGCGCGCACGGCTTGTGGGGGTGTTTAAGAGAGCCCGGACGAGAGCTGGTGGATGGGCGTTATGAGATGGCGATAAGCCGTTGTGATTTGAAGGTACATTGTATTTGGGTGTGAAAAAGTGATTTATGCAGCCTGGTGGCTACATTTTCTGCAAAAGTAGAGACATCATTGTCGTTCACCAAATGCTTGTAGAAAATGTAATTGAAGGTTGCACTTACACCGTGCAAAGTTCATGTGCTCGTTTAGCTTGCTCTGGCAATGGTGTGCGCGGCTCAGTCTATATCCATGCCCTGACTCTGACCCTCTTCCTCCTAACTCTGAGCCAACTTCCCTCCAACTCTTCCCTCTCCCTCTCTAACTCTGACCCCCTCCCCCCCCCCCCGATTTCACAGACGCCATTCGTCGGCGCGGAGTCGGACCGGTCCGGTTCCCTTCCGTGCGGAGCGGCGGCGGCCTCCTCGCAGCGGAGACGCACCGCCTGGGAGCGGAGGTTACGTGCCATCGTCTGTACCTTCTTCTCCTGCTTCGGCATCCGCCGCGGGTCCTTCTGATGGTCTGAGGCATCTCTGGGGATGTGGTTAGCTGTGTGTGACTGGGTATCCGCCGGGTATCCAGTCGGTATCCAGACTGGGTATCCGCCGGGCTTCTGATGGTCTGAGGCACATCTGGGAATGAAGCTAGCTGTGTAAGACTCGACATCCGCTGCGGGTCCTTCTGATAGTCTAAAGGAGTTCTGGGGAAGAGGGTGTTTCTGTTCTACGTGAGTCGGAGGTATTCCTGAGGTAGACTGAGGTGGTTTTAGTGTTACTTAATTGCAGGTTTTTATTGCGCTTAGAATCTTCCCTCACACGTAATTTCAGTATTCTGAAGGAAGTTTTCGACGGACACGCTCAGCTTGTGCTGTATTTTTTTTTAGTCTGATTAGAATGCTAATTTGATTCATTTCCTTTCCGTCAAATCATCAAATTTTGACGGAAAGGAAAATGCTTATCATTATTTATTTATTGCTTGTGTTTTATCTACTCGACTTTGCCTATCATTGGGAATCTGTCCTGTTGGCAATAAACTGAATAAATACAAATACAAATACAAAATACAAAATCAAATAATCTTCAAAGGCACGGGCTGGGAGCAGGATGATGGCTCTTTTGTGCGGCTCTTGAATAAAGTAATTAGGGCCGCTTAAAATAATAAAAAGCTCCCCCGAAAAGGAAGTTATGTGGCACTGTTACTGTGACCCATGTTTACTTAAACTGCTTATATTTGATCAGAAACCTCACAAACTGGTAGGATCATGTCCCGAAGACGTACGCGCTGTTGTTTTGCGTTACTGTTATGTGACTCTTGCCAATGAAAAACGCTAAAATCGGTATTGCACAGCACCTAAACATGGTTATCAGTTGCGAATTCATTTCTAGCACCGGTAATATAGCGTTTTAATTATTTACTTCACCTGATTAAACAGATCTCACCAGGTCCTCTGTACATGGAAACTGAGATTATGACCGTCGCGAATCGCTATGTCGGTCTGCGGCACCCACATTGACCTGCACCTGTTATGGAACTGCTGCAGGTTCAGGAGACAGCTCTTTCCCGAAGGTCTTCTTTAAGCCGCCTCGCTATCCCCCAAAGTGACGTGTCTATGCCACAGATCGTGCGGCTTCTCCGCCCTCAGTAGAATGACGGAGTGTTTGACCTGCTGTCCGACTCTTGTTCATGGATTTCAGTAGCAGCCTGTGTGCTGAGTTCTGTCCGCAGAATGGGGATGGCGCTGTGGCGCGTCGGAGAGCAATGTCGAGGACCTACAATTAGAGTGATGTACCTACTTTAGGTTTATGTGTGCATTGCGGTGATGAACAGATGACCAGATGCTAATGTGGGAAAAAAGGGGAGGACTAGATGTTGATGGAGGGTTCGCTGGGGGATGGGGGCACAGACGGGGAGGGGGGGCTGTCGCACCATCAGAGGGCTGAATAGTGACTAGCTATACGTCGGAGATACATGTTGGATGACTCAATGGCCCGTGCGAACTGTGTTTCATATCATGTTGAGATGAGCGACTGAGGAATGTAGGCAAAGTGCGTGTTCCCCATCTGTACCCTAGGTAGGTCTCTGCCGAAAGGACTATGTGAGCGGTGTGTTTGGTCGACATTTCCCTCAGCCTTATAAAGCCATAGAAATCCGATATTTTCTTCAAAGTTTAAAACACTAGTACCTAAGAAGGATATGTTTTTTTTTAAATGATTGCTATTTCGTGCAAAACATGTAAACCGATAGTTCTTGAAACCACATACCTAACATTTCGCCGATAGCCCTACGATTCAACTTGGTATGTTGTGAAAGAGGTGCGATACAAGCCTTTCACTCCTATCCCGATCGCACCTCCCATAGGTACAGCCAGTGCTATCACTCGAAACCTCGCTATTTTTGTACTTTAACGCTGTGAGCTATATACTCTGGTGATGATAAGCGTAGATCGAACACCGGCGTTGGCTTACTAGAGCGATTATGGAGGCTCCGATGTTCGATTGAGCGGTGGATAGTGAACGGCAGAGCGCATGTCCTGACTGTTTTCACTGAAGCAAAAGAGCGCTGTGGTAGTGGTAGCGATTGTGTGGTATTTGGACCCTGACTGTATTCTGCTTGTACCTGTCGTGATGAGTTTGTATGGAGGGTTGTGCTACAACTCGCGTCGCGCTGAAGAGCTGATCAGCTCGAGCCTGTGAGCATCCGCCGAGCGCGATGAATGTTACGTGTTTCTAAAGCCAACATCTGAATGTAATGTTCTGTGGTATTTGACGGTGGGCGTTTCAGGTCGAATGGATGAATGGCCGACAGAATTGAAGGAATCTAAAACACGTTTTCCGAAATGCGACTCAACACCCCGCCAAACGCTAGGCCGGTTTCCACACACAAATGCAGTCTCCTGACGAACACGCACCACCACTTATGATGCCCTTCTAAGGTTTCAGCAGGATATCATCCGCTCTGTCTGTCTCATATACGTATACCTACTTATGGTAGGCACACGAAGCCACACCGGTGTTATATCGGCTCTGCTCTCACTGCTCTCTCTCTCTCTCTCTCTCTCTGTCTCTCTCTCTCTGTCTCTCTCTCTCTCTCTCTCTCTCTCTCTCTCTCTCTCTCTCTCTCTCTCTCTCTCTCTCTCTCTCTCTCTCTCTCTCTCTCTCTCTCTCTCTCTCTCTCTCTCTCCCAGCACTGGACTGCTTCGTTCCGTCCCTGTGCGTCCATTTCTGTACCTCACCAGTAACCAGACACCATGTGTGTCTCTCTAATGAGTGACACGGCGCCGGAAGGCAGGGGAATAATGACTCCGCCCCTCCCCCCTGCGGTAGGCCCATACTCATTACCAAACACACCCTCTGACAGGGCTGCGGAGTCGGAGTCGGAGTCGGAGTCGGTCGGAGTCGACAGTTGTGACCGGAGTCGGAGTCGATATTGGAAACCCCAGCCGGAGTCGGAGTCGGAGTCACCGAAAATCTGCCGACTTCGCAGCCCTGCCAGGTGTGCGGAGTCGGAGTCGGGAGTTGGAGTCGATCGGAGTCGACATTTCTGCCCGGAGTCGGAGTCGGAGTCGGAGTTGGTTTTTGAAAGCCGGAGTCGCCGTAAATCCATCGACTCCGCAGCCCTGCCCTCTGATTCCTGCCACCGTTCTCAGTACACGCAGTCTACCGTCCCTGCCTTCACTGGACTGTCCTTCCAAATTCCGCAGGGCCTTCAGACAGCTCATTCAGTCAGGGCCCTTCAGTCGGCTCAGTCTTCCCAGCCCTCAATCTTCACCAGACTGGATTATCCGGTGTTCGTTCAGTCCAGAGGCTCATGTGACTGCTAAATCCTGAGTCTTCAGTCACACTATATCATTCTACGTCCGTAGTCAGTACCAATTTTCGCTATTCCTTCGGACACTTACTCATCTGAGTTTGTCCCCTGCATTTCTGTCACTTTCAGCCATTTTAGCCACTTCAATCCATTTCTTCGGACTGTGTTCACTCTCAAATATTCTCAGTCCTATTGCCCTGCGCTCCGTCAACTCAGCCCTCCCCGCTTATTGAGCCCCGCAGCTACACACAGCCCTCGGCTTTGAAGTTCCCCCAACACTGCTCGAGTTTGACGACGCTCAAGGGCTGAGTCCGAGCATCCTTCAAGTGCTGTGCAAATTTGGCGTAGTTCTCGCGTCGGGATAAGTTTAGCCCGGCCCGCCAAAGATGGGGGGGGGGGGGGATACCACTTTGTACGAGAGCGTGTCTTACCCAGAGCCGTTGCCGAACGCATTGCCCTGGGGAGACCATTCTAGTCCCTATATACATTTCAGTTTTCAGTCTCAGTCTACGCAAATTGCAAAACGCCAACTAGCTAAAGCTATCACAATGTAAATTACAGCGAGTGACGTACCAAACCATTTTCGAGTGCTATCCTGCTGTATCATTCGGATCGTGGTTAATTCGTTCACTAAGAGAATTCGCAGGATGACACACCCATACTTTTCACAGCCATCCGCACCTCTACTGTCCCATCCAAAAACTCTCCATTTTTTTGTGTCGGTTTTATTATACAAAATGAAGTCAAACCGCTCTCTCTCTCTCTCTCTCGCTCTGTCCGCGGTCGGCGCCGTTACGGTACAAAACAGACCCGGCGGCGGCGCGCGGTTTCTCGTGTAACAATTTGGCGCCACCGTCCGCCGGCGGGAGGCGGGCGGCTGCTTTCACATTGACAAGGCACCATTGGTGCGCCGTCCAGCACGGCGCTGCACCACACATTCACTAGACTGCCTACGGGAGTGGGGGGGGGGGGGGGACGCGGGGGTGTCACAGCACCCTCCACAAGCAATAACACCGGTTAATAGAGCGTTTTACACAACACAAAATAGACGTCGCCACCGTCGTCGCAGCGCGGCGGCGCAGCGTCGCGCGCTCTCAGCATTAACAAGCACATTTGCCACCAGTCTGCCTTCATTTCGCACCCCTCTATCCGGGGGGGGGGGGGTCGATCCACCCCCCGCCGCCAGCACAGTCAATGGGGACTCCCGGGCTGGGGTTTGACGCCGCTGTGAGCCGGGACTGCCGCCGGGCTGGGCCCTCAGCGCCGCCCTTTCGACCAGTCTGATCACACTGTCGATTAGACGGCGCCTGAAGTCGAGCCTTTCCAATGCACTTCTGTCCTAGGACGAAAGGATCGGTCCAAGAGGAGCGTCCTACTGTCCATTTGAAGACGCCCCTCGAGCCAGTCCAAAGGTCTGTCTGAGTCTGTCATCATCACTGCTTCTCTAAAACAGATGGCGTCCTCATCGCTGGCATCTACGCTCTTCCCCCCTACGAGCGTCTTTGCGAGTCCAACGTAAAACACTTGTCTTCATCCGTCTGTCTATCCACTGCGGGATCCAAGTCTTTAAGCACGTGTGTGTTCTGTCCATATCACGATCACACTATTCAACACTGTCGCCGTCTCGTCTATCCGTCTATCTGTCTCCCTCTTGCTGTCCGCCTTCCCGTCTTCCGTCCGTCTCATGCACTGTGGCGGCTGACTTTAGAAGGCGTCAGTCGGTCGGTCGGCAGTCTAGGTGGCGCTGGAGGCACTCCGAGCTTCGAAAGAGCAGCCGGAGCCTGGCAGCCTCGGCGCAGTCCCCACCGGCGGCAGAGCTTAGCCTATCGAGAACTAGACCCAGCCCGGCAGGACAGCCACTAGCCACAGCTCGTCAGGCTTTCAGGACTATCTCGGGCCCAGCGGGCTTAGAGACCTCAGTCACCAAGCCATCAGCCCCAGCCCGGCGGAGCAGCCCTACCCATCCCGGCAGGGAAGCCCTGACCAGCCCGTCGGACAGCCCCGTCCCAGCCCGGCGTTCCCCCAGTCCCGGCTCGCCTCAGCCGAGTCCCCTCGGTCAGCTAGCACCAGTCGGCCGTGTAGGTGAAGTCGCGGAACAGCGCCTGGTCGGGACCGGTCAGCACGCGCGCCTCCTTGGGCGGCGTCAGAACGGCCCGCTCCGAGGTGAACTCCTCGTCAAAGTTGGACACGTCCTCAACGCTTTTCTGTGGGAGGAGGGAGGGGAGGGTTAGGGACTGGAGATGGCACATTACCTACACTTTGTTAGCACACCGCTACGAGAGTTTCACCCGTGAAGGCCAACTTGTCACACGATGGTCAGATTTAAAACGAAAAAATGAAGCAGCGGTGAACATAAGCAAAGTGTGAAAGGAATAACTACGCAGCAGTCTGTAAATGCATTGTAAACTAAACAGCAGAGAGCCAAAGAGAAAGGGTAACAAAACAATAGCATGTCAAGTACTAAAGCCCACTCATCCGACATGAAACCGGTACGAGCTACACCCCCTAGAAACACCCTCCCCTGTCTCCCGTTACTCACGATGGTGGGCACGAAGGGGGGCCGGACGCGTCGCGCCAGCAGTTCCTCCCAGTCGACTCCGCTGAAGAAGGTCTGCTTCTTGACGTCCTCGGCGTCTCGCTCGCTGGCGCCCAGACGGCGCTCCGGGTTCTTACGCAGCAGCTGACGGAAGGGGGGGGGGGGTCATGGGTGGGAACGAGGGGGAGAAGGCAGATAAATACGGAGGTCTAAATAAACCAAAGAGATGAAGTTCGGTGGCCTGGACACCAGGAAATCGGCATATGAAACTACAAAACAATCCACAAAAAACATGATTGTCTTACTTTAGCTAGGGAAAATGAGAAAATTTGTTATAATATAAACATTGAAAAAGTAAAACAAGGACGTTTCTCTCAATCAATGACTGAAAGCTTCCACCACTGCAAATAACGGCATACCACTCACCGCGCCCTGCCATCTAGCAAAAGTTCTATAGTTTCTTAGCCTCCCCACCAGATGTCTCTCCCATCCCCCGTCCATCCCGCTCAAGTCCGTTCTTTTCCCTATCGGCACTCACCCGGCGCATGATGGCGATGGCCTGCAGCGACAGGAAGCGCGGATATCTCAGCTCGTCGTTGACGATACTGTCAAACACCTCTTCCTCATCATCACCCGGGAAAGGACTCTCGCCGACCAGCATCTCGAAGATGAGCACGCCCAGGCCCCACCAGTCGACGGCGCGCGTGTACGTCTGTTCTGTGAGAACCTCGGGAGCCAGGAACTCCGGGGTGCCGCAGAAGGTGCCCGTCCGGTCGCCGTAGCCCATACCCTCTTTGCAGAGACCGAAGTCGGCGATTTTGACGTAGCCGTCCGTGTCGAGAAGCAGGTTGTCCAGCTTCAGGTCACTGTGGAGGGGGGGGGGGGGGGGAGAAGGGCAGGTCAGGTCAGGTCAGGCCAGTTCAGGTAGCATTGATAGAAACGTTACAAGAACCATAAATCTTCCACAGCTGAGATGTGAGCAGTGTAAAAACAGTAAGGCATTCGTTTAGGAGATCGGTTAATTTTGCTGAAATCATTTTTAGTGTTTAACGCACCCGCTTACAAAAAACAAAACAAAAAAAAATAATAATAATAATGGGCGCAAAATAATCAATGAAACATAATCTTAATCATGCTAATAATATGGAGAGGCGATGAGTATCACTAAAGCTCAATATTGCTTACTAACGACCTTTGGTGTCATGCAAATACTCAATCCTATCTCCCACCGAAAATTTCCATCGTAAAACAGCAGCTACTGTTTAAGGAGCGCGCATAACTTCACACACATTCACTCCCAACATGGCACTGATCCCGTCTGAGCCGGGGATAATCCACAATGGGGGAGGGGGATAATCACATCCAGTCAGAGGTGCGGCACACACGGGGAGGGGTGGGCGTGGAGGTCATAAAGCTCAAGGTCGGATCTCAGTGGCACGTGCCAGTGCCTGTCTTTTTACCGCGGCCATGCGTGATGAAACAGCCACAGCCTAAAAGAGTACAGTCTTTTCAGCCCGGCTGCCGCGTGGTCCAGAGCTATGGCCGAGGAATGCAAGGAAAATAGAACAGGGAGGGCTAGAAAGAGGGCCAGCCCCAGGGCTAGAGAAAGGGAGAGAGAGTAGGATAGAACTTAGTTTACGACTAGGGAAATTGAACGAATTAGAACCAGGGACTAGCCGGGTTAAACTACCATAAGAACGTAGGCTGTAAAAGTAAGGCGAATGTGGCAAGGGGGGTAAGAGCAGCGGCGGTTACGTCTCTTACCGGTAGATGATTTTGTTTTCGTGCAGGTACTGCAGGCCGAGCACCACACAGGCGGCGTAGAACACGGCGCGGGGCTCGGTGAACACGTCAGAGTGGATGTGCATCATCAGGTCACCGCCGGCCGCGTACTCCATCACAAAACACACGTGACTCTGTGGGGAGGGGTACAGTTACTACATCACAAAACACACGTGACTCTGTGGACAGAGGTACGGTTACTCTATCGCAAAACACACGTGACTCTGTGGGGAGGGGTACAGTTACTCCATCACAAAACACATGTTACTCCATGGACAGGGTACAGTTACTCCGTCACAGAACACACGTAACTCTTTAACGGGAGGGACAGTGGGGTCAGCGTTCTCCATCACAACACACATGACTCTGGGGGAAGGGGTATAAGTACTCCATCACAAAACACACATGACTAGGGGTACAGTTACTCCGTCACACAACACACGTGACTGTGGGCAGGGTTAAGGTTACTCCATCATAAGCATTTGTCTCTGTGGGGAGGGGCAGACTCCATCCAATCACAAAATCCAGCACCAGGGCCCAGTTTCACCAAGTGCGGTAAACTCAATTTGGGGTAAAATACCAAACTACCCCACTACGTAACTACAATTATACTACCCCAAAATTAAGTTTACCTACCTTGGTGAGATTGGGCCAAGTGCCCAATCTCACCAAGGTAGATTAACTTACTTTCGGGGTAGTATTTTTCTAGTTACGTAGTGGGGTAGTTTGGTATTTTACCCCAAATTGAGTTTACCATCGACACCTCTTGAACGTTGCCCAGTATGCAAGGTCTCACCGAACGGTTCGCAAGGGCCGCAAAGGCGTGAAAAGTCAAGAAAACTGTCACAATGGTACAACTAACTCGTATTCCTAATATGGACTCTGCCGGCAGGGACACGAACACGCAGTCGACCGGCCCAAACCTAGCTAGTGTTAACAGAACCCCAGATCCCGCCTCTCACCCACTGACTGAGAGAGTCCTGTCATCGCCCCGTTTAACCAGTGTCTCATTAGCACACAATACGGCCACAGCGACAGAGAATACCCCGCCCCGAACCGGGTCAGACACTGGACACGGGTACACTTCCAGTCCAGCCCACGGCTCTCAAACGGACCCTAGTAGTAGAAAACCCTAACAGCTAAGAGTTGGACATTGGTCAGACAGGTCAGACAGGACAGGTCACTGGCGGGCTCGAAACGCTCGCCGCTCGCACCGTGCAATTTGGAACTAACGAATATTTTGATTTTCTTATTACATCCCTTTGTTAGGCCCCATATATCGTAGAAAATTCTCTCATCTATCACACCATGCGTTTTTCTAAACGTTAGAATTTGGGGCTAACATATATCCCTCACAAGCAAACCTTTACTACAACTAGCTTTGATCTTAAGCCTACGTCCCTATCCCTTTTAACCACCTTCCTGCCCACTTCCCCCTCCCCCTCTCTTCCTCCCCGCGGTCCGTACCTCAGTCTGGAAGCAGCTGAACAGGTTGACCAGGAACGGGTGCCGTACAGAGTTGGCCACCTCGAAGATGCGCTTCTCCGCCAGCAGTGACTCCACCTCGTCGCGGGAGATGATGTCGGCCTTCTTCAGCGCCTTGATGGCGTAGTACTCGCCCGTGTTGCGGTACTGAGTGAGGATCACCTGTTGAAGGGGGAGGGTTAGTGTACCAGTTCATAGTACTCGCCCGTGTTGCGGTACTGCGTCAGAATCACCTGTCCAGAACGGGTGTTGGTTAGGAGGTGAAAACAAACCAGAGACAACAGAATCGTATGAATTGAATAAAAGCTCTGCTTGCATCCAAAGCATTCCATTTAACATTGAGAAGCGAACGGTTTCCTGACCGATTCCAGACACTAAGTGGAGGGTTTGAGAAGAAATCAGTTGATGACAAAATATTTATCGAGTCTTTGGACCCCAGTCCAACGCCTAGTTCTCGACACCCCTTTTCACTCGTTCTTTGGCATTGATTTATCAGACAAAAATTACACAATACATTATACCAGTAAAACGCCTTTTGGGCGAAGAACGAGCGAGCGAGATAGTGAGCCCTGCACGTGCGCAAGGGCGAGAGGGTACTTCCAACAGGCTTGTGCAAAGCACCCTTCTAACCGGTCGCTAGCGGTGTGCCAAATTTCAGCGCAATCGGCATAGCCGTTCTCGAGATCTGGAAGCGGCACACTGCACGTGCGCACGTGCAAGCGGGGTTCAAACTGACTTTTGCACGGCACCCTACTAACTGGTCCCCAACCGTGTACCAAATTTGAGCGCAATCGGCCCAGCCGTTCTCGAGATCTGGGAGCGCCCCCTGCACGTGCGCACGTGCTGTAGCACCCCAACTTTAACACATGCAGATGAATTATCTGATGGAGACCTAACTGTGTACCGAGTTTCAATTCAATCGGCCCAACCGTTGTGCCGTTATTGAGGTTGCAATTTTGGGGGTTCTTAAAAAATGTCCAACTTTACCACGCGCCACGTGCGGTGGTTGGCAAGAACGCATGGTGGCCATCACACCACAGAACTTTTACGTCCAAGTGACATTCAGTAAAGAAGACCGCTTGTCAATCGGATGTCCCGTTCCTAAGATATTAGCTTTTGAAAAGCGTCCCCACGGCCGGCCGGCCGGCCGGCCGGCCGCTCATACTCAGGATTTTCCCTTAATTCAGTATGAACTCGCTCGCTCGCTGCGCTCGCTCGCTCGTAATCATTTACCACATGCCGAGATATCCCTTTAACATTAGCACGTGCATTTGGGAAATGGCTTCGGCCCGCCTCGGCTAATGTTGAAGGTATTTGGGAAACGATTCGGCCCTAGGGCTTTTTGATTTTCCCAGACAAAGTTTTATTGAATATTCTGAGCGGAAGAACCAATTCCAAAGAAGATATTTACGGATTGTGTGTTCACTAACAGCAACAGCAAAAGTAAGTGACTGCGTGTTTACTTCCTTTTGCTGTCAAGGTACTTCAACTATAAACAAGGGTATCGTTCCAATGCCAATTTATTTATTGCAGCAGAGCATGGTCAGAATAGTAATTATTACTACATAATGCACGCAAAAAAAAAAACGAGCAATTCAAATGCGAGAGGCATCTTAACGTGCCACAATGAAACATTTGATATTGTTCCAGCTGGGATCCAAGACGCGTTTGATTCAGCGTTTCACTAAATTGTCAGTTTTCCTCACGGTTTCCTCACTCCTGCACTGGACTCCATATACTTCTTTGTTCTACCTTATTGATCCAGCTAGCATTCAAGACGCGTTTGATTTAGCGTTTCACCCAATTTTCAGTTTTCCTCACGGTTTCCTCACTCCTGCTGGACTCCATATACTTCTTTGTTCTGACTTCTGGCGCTTCACCATCTTCATCCTCAGCTTTTTCAAACCCAAAATAAGGGGAAAGTATGGAATTTCATCTTTCATTTTTAACGCAGCCCCACAAAAAAATACAAATATAATATAAACTGTTACGCCGGTACGGCATGTGGTAAATCTCTTCCCAACCTTGGGCTGTGAAAATGCAGTTTTATTCACCTTGGTTTTTTGCTACGGACCTCGTGCCTACCGGCACTCGGTCCTCCGCACAAAAACCTCGGTGAATAAAACGCATTTTCCCAGCCCCGGTCGGGAATATATATTCCTGTATGTTTGATGCAGTCTTGCAATGCAATCCAGCCATCCAAGAAACTTTGCGCGAGACGTTTTCTTGGATGGTTTTCTTGGATAGCTTGATTTCATCGAGGGCTTCTGTTTTAAAGAAAATTTGTAAGCTTTGCTGAACTGTTAAGTAATCAGAACTGCCAGTATTTCAGTATTTAACGTGTAGTTAATGTTACTGTATTTTATTTATGCATATTTCGGCCTTTTTTAAGCAAATAACGAACGATATTAAGAAACATACAGGAATATACATTCTTGGACGATACCGCGAAAACGAAATATTTCTATCGAGAGTTTTCAAAGGATTTCATGCACGAGGCCTTGGCCGAGTGCATGAAATTCTTTGAAAACTCGAGATAGAAATATTTCGTCGCGGTAGAGTCCCAGATATTATTTCCTGTATGTTTCTTAATATCGTTCGTTATTTGCTTAAAAAAGGCCGAAATATGCATAAATAAAATACAGTAACATTAACTACACGTTAAATACTGAAATACTGGCAGTTCTAATTACTTTACAGTTCAGCAAAGCTTACAAATTTTCTTAAAAACAGAAGCCCTCGATGAAATCAAGCTATCCAAGAAAACCATCCAAGAAAACGTCTCGCGCAAAGTTTCTTGGATGGCTGGATTGCATTGCAAGACTGCATCAAACATAGGTACAGGAAATAATATATAGGACTCTACCGCGACGAAATATTTCTATCTCGAGTTTTCAAAGAATTTCATGCACTCGGCCAAGGCCTCGTGCATGAAATCCTTTGAAAACTCTCGATAGAAATATTTCTTTTCGCGGTATCGTCCAAGAATGTATAATCCCAGTCTCTCCTCAGCTCAGTTTTCGATGTATGCTGCCCTTTGTTTCTCTCATCCCCTCTGTGTCCAGTCCGTCTCCCTCCCATTCCCACCTTTCCGAAGTGTCCGCGTCCGAGCACGGCGATCATCCGGAAGTTGTCCAGAGTCATACCGCTGAGCTGGGAGACTCGGTGCGACTCGTAGGCCGAGTCACGGTACTCGACGGCCGTGGCGCGGCGGCTCGGCCGCAGCGGCACCATCGGAGGCTCCTGCAGGGGGGGGGGGGGAGGTCAGTCGGGTCAGTATGGGGGTCACAGCGGCGGCTCGGACGCAGAGGCACCATCGGAGGCGCCTGCGGGGGGGGGGGGGGGGGTCAGTCGGGTCAGAGGGGTCAGTATGGGGGTCACAGCGGCGGCTCGGCCGCAGGGGCACCATCGGAGGCTGGCTTACAGGGGAATAGGACAGGTCAAATGGGTCAGAGGGAGTTTAGAGGAGATCAGAGGCGTTAGCGTTAGTAAAAGCTGGCCATTGGGCGTTGAACGAGGGTAACGGAAAACCAGCCATGACAAAATTAGAACAAAATTAGGTGAGCGTTACGAAATAATCAGAGATTATAGCAGATTTTGTACCCTAAAATTAGCTCAAATTAGCTCATTCGAAGGAATGTTGTAAAAACAACCAACCTTAAACATACAATTAAGAAACAGATGGCAAAAATCAGCAGCAGTGTAGCAACACCTATCAACGATGCCCTTTGAAATGCCAACTGCAGCTGCAGGCTGTCCCAAGCGGCGCGGATCAACCATTGTCGTTAGCCGTAATGATCAGAGCAGTGCCCGATTACATTGACACTATCAACACCAATCAATCCATTGAGGGACGTCTGTCATTCATATGACAGACCTTGGCACAAATGAAAAGATCGAATCTTCTTTCGTTAGCCTTCATTAGCAAGTGTAAATCAACAAAACAATACCACCAGGGTTGCTACACTGGACCCGTCCCAGCCGGTTGCATATATTTCTGTCGGCAAATCCCTAAGATGAGGGCTGCAGCCTAACCTGCACTGGGATTGCTTACACAACAGACCTGACATAAGTTCAGATCAGAGCCGTTCACTAGCCTCCCTCATTTACAGCTCATTTACATCCTGCGGCGAATGGTACGGCAAGATGAGTTACTACTCCCCTCTGGGTCTGTGATCAGCACATTGATCTAAGCCCGGGCCCTTTCAAGGTCGGTCGGGCCGTACCAGCTCCTCCCCAAACCATTCTGCACTGCTGACCAGACTGGAGGGTCTAGCCCAGGGCTGGACAGCTGTATTACGGGGGGAGGGGTATATATCGTCTCCAGTCTCCGGGGACCACACCCCTGCCGCAGGGAGTGCAGTTCCAATGAAGTATTGCGCTGCAGTAGCCGCCCGTTTAAACCCCCCCCCCCCCATTCGCCACGGGCCAGCGGTTTATTTGATGGGATACTGATGGGCTAGGAGACAAACTAATGATTAGCAGGGGCTAATAGATTATGGCCAGTTTGTTGAAGGTCGTGGACATTCACGTCTCAGATGTGGTGACTATTGAAGCCAGTGGGCATCACGGTACCCGACTTCGGTAACATTACTGAATAATATTGAAAGCAATCGGTATCCATATAAGAAATATAGACATTTGAAAAAAAAATGCATAATTGTTTTCGCCACAGACCCAGCTATCTCAATAGCTACAAAACTGACCCAAACCCCATCGGATCTATGATCCTACACCTTTTTGCATTTGAATTCAACCATTCGCCATATCTGTTTGAGGAGCCATTTCGACAATCGGCATTGAGCACAACTATTCCGGCGTGGTGTGTTTCATTTAAGCCATTCAGCAAAACAGATTGAACACTGGAATGAGCGATCTGCAAAACAGTTTAACAGTTCGCCAGACTTCGGCATAGAGGGAGCCAGCTCGGCATATGACGAATAGTTTCGACCATTGACGATTTGTTTTGCACAATGTTGAACCATTCGTTCAATGTCGAGTTGTAGAGGAAGATCGCCGAATAGTTTTGCACAATGGTGATTCTTTGTGACCAACCGCCCATTGGTAGCGCCACCTATATGGCGAATGTGTACAAATGTTTTGCCCGATGGTCAAAAGCTAACGCAAAAAGGTGTAGTAACAAACAGCTTCCCATGGACCACTGAATACCTCCTCCCCTCCTCTCTCTCTCTCTCTCTCTCTCTCTCTCTCTCTCTCTCTCTCTCTCTCTCTCTGTCTCTGTCTCTGTCTCTCTCCCTCTCTCTCTCTCTCCCTCCTCCCCCTACTCACATCATCCTCGGGTTCGACGACGATGGGCTCTTCTGTCGGCTGTGGCGCCAGCCCGCGACCCACCGACATATGAGTGACGGTGACTCCGGCACCCTCGTCCCCGACCTCGATAATGTTGACATGGCGGCTCTCGCGCTGCCCGGGGGCGCCCAGCGGCGATATGTCACCCGGCAGCTGCGGGGGAAAGAGGTCAGGTCAGGTCGGGTCACTTAGGTCACTGGGCAGAAGTCAGGTGAGAATACCGCGCCATTGTCATCCACACAATTTTTGCGAACAAAGTTTCATAAACAGTTGAAGTTCATTAGCAAGCCTACTATTTCCAGCAGTTTGGATATATTAGGTACACAAACTGGTTTGGTTATCACACTAAGCTTGTCCAAGGTCAACTAAACCAATCAGCTGCCCCAAGACCACCAAGTTGACAGTCAGCTAGCGCCTGCAACATTTTACCACGGTACACACACCCCGGTTTACGCAAGCGGAATAACCGGGGTTCGGGCAGCAATGCATAACCAGTCGCGTGTCTACCGGAGCAGTGCCATCTCTGACTGCCCCCCCCCCCCCTACAGCGGGGGGGGGGGGGCTACGTCACAGCGCGGCGATTTGGGCGCGCCGGGACAATAAATGGAGCGGGGCGGAGCCGCGGGTTAACTGGGGGTGCGCGGTTAATGATCAGAACATTACGGCCAAACCACAGCTGCCCGGCCTAATGGACGAACAAAACACTTACCGCTAATAGCACATGAAAACACCTCACACTGAACAAAACACAGGTGATTGTCGAACAAAACGCTTTGACCCAATCACCGGCAATGTGTACAGATAATGGTGAGCACCAACACTACAGGAAGGCGCACTTACCCATACGAGAGGCCTGCACTTACCTTCCCTGTAACGCCCACTGTTCGGACGAGGCTCCGATGGTTTGGGCCGGGGAGGGAGGATCGGATGGTGTTTACCACCTTTTACAGAGTCGTCGGTGTCAATTCACACCCACTCACCTGGTGTTGAAAGGCGAACAGAGAAGCTGGCTTCAATCAGCACGACATTGTAGACACGGATTTTTGTGTATACGGACTGGAGTGGCAACAAGTCTTATCCAGTGAAAATCTCGAGAATACCACGGCCGAACTAAATGACACCTGAGGCCTCTTGCACCAAACTACCTAGCTAGGTAAAATCGAAAAACTGGTTTCAGAATAAGCTAATCTAACGGTGGTAAATTTGTTTGCAATAGCCCAATACATAATCCTACATGTGCTTGCTAAATTTTGCACGCAAATTGTTACATTTAAGACTTGGACTGGGTATACAATGCAAAATAATCCAAGCATTGGTGCAAGAGGATTTTGGTGCAAGAGGCCTCTGTGCTTCAAATAGCAGCATCTGAGTACAGATCCAAAATCGAATTCCAAGCATAAATGCCGTGCATGAACTCCAAGCACCAGTTCCAAGCACCCACTCCGGGTCGGCGCCCGGCGACTCTCACCGACCTGACCTGACCTCACAGAGGAAGTGTGAACACCGTGTGCCGTCTCATCACCTACAAATAATCCCCGAGCCGCGACATGACATTATTTATCCCTGGCATAACTCAGAACCCTGTCAGAGCGTTTCCAACCAATTCACCCGTCTGCAATCAGGGATTTATGTGGGGATACCGCAATGATGACATATGTGGCGCCTGCAACCGGATAATCACTGCTTGCACCACATAGCGGAGTCACCCAGCAATCCACGGATATCTTTATGGTATTTTCAGCATGGTACGGTCGTTGTCCGCGATTACCTCTCAAGAGTAGCGAATAAACGACGGTCGTCGAGCAACCATCGGCAGTGGGCGGGGTCACAGTAACGGTGGGTGTGTCCTCTGCTCTCTATACGTCTCCACTGTCCATCTCTCTGTGCTGCCGTGGGGGCGGATCAACACATTTATCTGCTGCCCCCGCTTGTAACAGCGGTTCTAGCTGCAGTGACGGTCACAGGCGTCGGACGGTCGGTCCAGCCTGCAGTCGCACGGTCGCGCTACAGGCGGCGGCATTTGACAGTGACCGCGAAGGGACGCCCACGCAGAGAACACAGAGGGTGGACTGTCAACAAGCGCGCAAGGCGGCACACAGGCGGGACGAGACACAGGCGAATCAGCATATCAACTGTCCTAAAGCGCCATTTTCACCAGACATTAGCGCACGTCTTTGAAGAATGTAGGCATCCAGAAAATGAAAACAGCGTTCATGCCAAAATCGAGAGCTTACGTAAAATGCATGGCATGCAACATTGCGATATGGAAGTGAGATTACCGAATGGTGATCAGTTGCGTAACCGCAGACAAAACACTCAAAGCTTTGGAACAATAGTGTTAGGACGACACAACAATAGGCTAGTAGTCACTGACCCATAGCTAAGCGGTCAGGAGCTTATCTTTACATTGTCTGTCAGCAAGTTCACTTTTAAAACAGGGGATCACCTGTTCCGCCATCCGGTCCGCCTTTTCTAAGCAGCTGGTCATTGTTGACATACATGTAGATCAGCAGCAATGCGTACCCACATGGGCCAGAACTTTGAAAATGTTATTAGTATTGCAATCCGTCCAGCTAATTTACGAGTGACCAATTTAGCCTCTTGTTTCTATTCTATAAGGATAAATTAGACACGATGTCTGGCATAAGGGTTGAGGTAACGCCAACTTCTTAAAATATCGCATGTAAAACAATTTTCCACCTAACTCCGCCCCGCCACCCGTGCACTGTCGGGTGCGGCCCTCCCCCGCGGAGCCGGCGCTGTTTTCGAGCAGCGCCCATCACGCAATGCCGTCCATCTATCGGTCGGTGTGTCCGTGACGGCTGAGTGTGGGCGGGTGGCGCGTCAGGTGGACGACAAAGGCGGCAGTCGGACCGGACCGGACCAGGACCGACAGAGGAGTGACACGAGACCACCGGCGGCGGACCACGGACCATCAACAAAACAGATCCGGAGTCCGGGACTGCCACAAAATACCAGGAATCAGTGCGCCGAGACGGTATAGAACAGACATCGAACCAGTGCAGGGCCCCAGGTGGCCAACAATGGACCCGTAAGAGACCGCAAATGGGTGAGAGACGAGACCCTGTCAGCCGGCAGAGAAGTAGGGTAGATGCCAAAAGACGGAAATCGAGGACCAGCTCACTCGTGTGAATCAGGAGTGAGGAGCCCTTGTCATTCCAAGATAAACTATAGCGGCTACCCTTAGCAATAGCATAACATAGGATCGGACCAACACCGCTCCCAACCTTGGTGGGTACGCAGCAGCATTCGTCCTGTGTCACCAGACTGAGAATTCGCTACCATCCATTGTTCATAAACCGCCGATACAAACAATAGGGACGCCCCTAACGACGTGTCATCTTCGTACAAACTTGGGAGCGATAGCGACCTACGGGAGAGAACACAAGCTAACGCCATACGTCGACCAGATAGCGCCCTATGCGGACCTTCCCTACCATACATATGGCTAATGGCTGAACGAAGACGGAGACGAGACACGGCGATGAACAAAGAAACATGACAATTACGGATAGTTCCTAGTCTGAGGGCACGCTGAAGATGGTCATGGGACTCGGGATGAGAGATGCTGGTCTGATCAGCTGCCGCTGAGGCATATAGAAGACATTGCTCTTGTATCCCGTTGCTTTCCGATGCGAAGATCGACCTCAATCGTGCAGCGATGCTATTTACAGCCCTCTTAGGCCTAGTAACTAGTCTAACAGCGACTTCTTCAGCAAACAAGGAGCCCGGACAGCCCTGTGGAGGCGGGTTCTCCACACTGATAGATGATGGGCGGAGGCGGGCGGCACAGCTTCAAACCGAGCCGCGGAACGAGTAGTAGGAGAGAGGTAGAGAAGGAGGAGGAAGAGAGGGTTTCAAACTGCACCGCAAACGGGGGGAGGGACAGGGAGAGAGAAACCGGCCCGCCCACCTCGTGTTTATCGTCTATCGTCCCGCCTCGCCACCTCTCTACAGAGCGGAGCCGACACGAGAAACGCGGCGCAGTTCGCCACCACAGCGAATCGGCCCGACTTGGATCCGTTCAATAACGAGCTTCCCGACCCTGCGGCAGGGGCTGTCTGAGCTCTGGAGCCGTCAGGCGAGCTTGGGAGCTGCCGGAGGGAGCTGAGGACGCGGCTTAGCTGGGAGAAGGGCTTAGACTTACTGCTGACGAGCAAGGACTTCAATCGGCATAAATGGCAAATTAGTTTTTCATTAATTGGTTTCAAAGACCTTACTTAAAGTTCGTCTGTTGCCAAGCAGTGAACAACTTAAGAAGAGCCCAAATAAGACATGATCCTTATGAAGCGATCGTTTTAAGCTATAAAATGTCAAATAAGGGGTAAGCAGCACTCAACACAGTGACATGTGGCATTCCCGCACATTGTCTGCCTTTTAATGAGCTCCACTCGTTAAGCTCTCCAAATAGACACCTCCTACACCGTACAGACAGCCTCCTAAGCTGGGATCAATGACTGATGATACAGTCGACGGGAGGACTCCGTGGACAAGGGGCGTGTCACCACGGTCCGATGGGCGTCGGACACCGTGCTCCGCCCTATAGGACGGTGTTCTGATGAGTCCTAACACCGGGACATCTCGTGAGCTACAGAGACACGGCGGGACTCAGATGGAAGCCTCCATCCTGGCTAGAGCAGTCAATGACCGTGGCAACCCATAATCGACGCTTGCCATAATCGACGCTTGATAGCATACGAAGCGAAGTAGCTACCGTCTTTGTCTGGGAAACCAAGCTCGTCTTCGTCTAGGCAACCACGCTCGAATCCAACAACTGGGTAACCGGGTAGTCCCTTGATAGCAGCAACAGCCGCGAGGCCGCTCGCAGACATGTTTGAATAGTTCTCAAGTTATGGCTTTTCAAGAATCGGCCAGAACCGATTGCCGAGCGCACCGTCAGCCGACTTCCTAGCTTGTACTCTCATACACCGACTCCGGCAGTGAACTGTGCAGTGTGCAGTGTGCAGACTGGTAGCCCCGCCGCTCGTTCTATTGGTTCAGGGCGCACCGCTTAGTCAGTGTACCTTACACACACAGAGACTCCGGAACTCACACACGAGCCAAGGACGGTGGACTGTTAGCGCTGCCCGGCGGCACACACAGTGGTGGTGGGTGGAACGGAGACGGTGAGA